TGTTCTGTAACTATTCAAGTGCTTAGTTGGGTCGCCTCGTCCATCATATTTTGGTATCATTGGCAGCACATAGTAACTCGGGATAGGAACATTTCTTAGTTCTTGTGAAAAATGGAAATTTTCATCGTCATCATCGAGTTCACAAGATCTTTAGGGTTCATCCAAATCTTCCTCTTCATCAGCCTGATATCTAAGCGAAAGATAAATGGTCCTGCCGATCCCTCACCATTTCATCCCTCATGCGGTGCCTATTTCTCATAGAGTCTCTTCATCAGGGTTTTCTCTTACCCTCCTAGGATGGTCATCACGATCTGAACTTATTTTTCCTTAGCTAAACTGTCAAACTTTTTCAACTTTTATGGCTTCATCTTGTTTTTTTTCAAGAACAAATCATTTTTCAAAGGAGGTGCCCCGTTATCCTCTGGCAAACTTTTTTTCACGAGAATGTTTGTGGTTATAGTGACGTTTCCCACGGACAATGTCAATCTGTTGATGTGGATAATAGATACTGGGCCCACTCGCATTCTCTCAAGTTAATTCCAATATGCGTGGAATGATTGTTAGTCGATAATAAAACAAGGTTTGGACATGGAAGAATCTTTATAACGCAAGACAAAGATGTTCGGGTTCCAACAAAATGTATGAGATAAATTACACGATAATGAACGAACAACTAAGAGCCAAACTTAAAATCAAGATCACATCTAAACACTAAAAACCAAAGATTAATCGAAAAGAAAGAAAATATATGGCTTGTAGTCAATATTTTGTATTACCCCCAAATGACAAAAATGAGGGATATTTATAATGTTACATGTGAGACAGTAACCATTGGATGGGGGACACGTGGCTTCATCTACTTCACCGAAGCATCACATCCTCATTAAATATCTCCAAAAGGAGGCAACCACCCTATAACCTATACTGACAAGATTAACGTTCCCACTCATTACAAAAGTCCAATCAATCATTCTAAAAGGATTTCATAAATTCAAGATCTTCAACCATGGATTGTCACCAGCCTTAGTTGAGCCTCGGTCTACTTCGTTGAATCTCGCCACTTCGACAAAAAAGCTTCGTTTGGACCTCGGATTTTTCTTTAGCAGTGGGGCTTCGGAAGTGGTCAACCTCATGAATTGCTTCGATAATGGTGGGCTTCGTTGGTTAGGATTGGTCTGGACTCTCTGATAGATCCTACTCCACGTGGGATGCCACATGGCTTCTACAAAAGGTACTTCGGTGGGTCGACTGAGCCACGTGGGACCCTAGGTGGCAAAGCATAACACAATTCAATACATCTAGGTAAGCTAATGTGGTTGCAGACGCTCTGAGCAAAAAGTTTGGGGGTCAACTGGAATCTTTTGTATGCCATCAGTATTAGTTGGTTAAACATTTCGACAAGATGAAAATTGAGGTTGACACAGTTTGGAAGGTAACCCAACACAGTTTACTTAAAGTGATATACA